TTACTTCAGCTTTCTCATTAAATTGTACATACAGTTTTATATGTTTAATACACTAACTTTTTGTCCAAGGCAAGTTTTATTTTTTTGCTATAAAAGTAAACTGATGAATTATTCCTGACATTTTTCTTTGTCCGAAATATTTAATATGAAAGTTGAATGTATTCAAAATGAAACATCATTTTGAATGTCTCTTAAAACCCTAAACTAATCCTGATATTAGTACCTGAAATTGATCTTAATATTCAATTTAAAATATTGATGACATGAGAAAACAAAATTCTGTGTAGTTATAATCTAAAAGAGGTAAAAATATTATCCAGGGACATGGCAGAGATCAAGATATAACTGGTTGTGAAACTCCACTGCATTGTGGAGTCTGTTATGGTAAAACAGTTTAGGGACCATTCACATAAATTTATTGTAAGTTATACTTCTGCCATGGGAATTATAATATGCAGATATTTTTTCTTATTAGACTTATTGTAATATTAAATTTCAAACAAGTGTAAACTAAATAGAAAAATATTGTATTACCAGATATCAATAATCAGACTGTAGATCAAAAATTATGATAGTTTGTACATTTTTTTAAACTTAAGAACATTTTGAAACTTAAAAAATAAAAAATGATCAGACATAATAGTAGGCCTTTAACATCAAGCTATTTATAATAAAAAATAATGTTTGAATGCCAAAGAGAAGGGTATGGTATAAAGCTAATACAGACTGAAGTCTCCAGACAAAGGTCTGTCTTTATGATTTTATGATGTACATATCTGCTTTATCAAGTATAGGTTTTTTGTCTGATTACTTTTTTAACATAAGACACCCAAAATCTGAATATTATAGCACCAAAATAAAATATATGCTCACTATTATAAGAAACTACACCCATAAAGTTATCTCAAAATTATGGGCCAGACCTTCTGAAAGCTGCTTTGAACAGATACTTAAAGATTTCCCAATGTGTAAACTAATCCTTAAATGCAAATCCACTCTTGGTTGCTCTACGTAATTCCTCTCCTGGTCATCAACTGGAGCTGGTGTGGCTCTGTGCCCAAGACAGCCCTGTAGAACCACAGATAACTTGTGCCACTAACCTGAACCACTGTTCTGATGACCCCAAGTTCACAGAAAAACAAGTCACTTTTCTATCTTCCTACACTGACCTGCGCTCAGTACATTTTAGCTGCATTTCGGAATCTAGAACTAGGAGCTGTTTATTTTAAAGGGATGCAGTTCCTCTCTCTATATAGTCATATATTTAAACATATGTTTATCTAACTTTCATGTTTTAATAATTTCACAAACGTATTTGTTAAGTATTAAAGAGTTACACTTCAGAAAGTTGTTTCTTTGCTAGCACTTTCTCTCACTGGTCCTGGTATGTTTCTTAACCTCAAACTAGATCATCACAATAATTCCTGTGGCAAAGGCTGCAGCACAGAAATCCAGTTCATTAATTCTACAGATCCACACTCCTAAATCTCCTTTCTTAAGAGAAACAAGTAGGAGGAATCCTAACTACAATTACAAAACTTCCATCCTTTAGCGCAAAAGACGTCTTTTGGGTTAGAAGGTTCAGGCAGAGGGAATGGGTAGAAAGTGGATGGACTGGAGGCAGCAGAATTAACATATATTGTTTCCTATACTCAAGCTCTTCCTATAATCACTAGTAATTATAACAGATCCAGGGGTTGCATTATCTTTTTTGTTGAGTTCTCCTGTTGGGTGGCAAGGCTGACCATTGCCAAGGAATCTAAAATTGACACTGCTGCAAGATGACTCACCCGGATTGATGGTTGGTTTGGTGGACAATGCTGTTTAAAAGTAAATGTAATCAAGATCTGCTTTTTTCCTCCAACCCAAGAGAACTGTAAGGGAGGAACTCCAATAGGGAAATCCCTCAAGATTTCCTTCACCAGAATTCCAATCTCTGTTTTTTCAGACAGAGGAGGTAATTCAGATCGCTAGTTTCCAAATCTTAGTCCGTGGACCAGTGATGTTCTGGGAGGTCACAGTAAGTGGTCTACATATCATGACGCCCCACCCCCTTTTAATTAGTAATTTGATGATTAAGCCACAAGCTACTAGATTGTTTTCTATCAATATTCAACTAAAAATCCCTTTTACGTTTCTTTGTATAACTCTTAAGTTTTCTAAAGATTTTTTTTCAATTCATTGGCAATTCATCTTATTTTGAGACTCCCTCCTTCTCATATGCTTTATAAATGTTTTTTCATTGTAGAAACAACTATCAACATAATATAAACGTATACCTGCCATGACCTTATTTCACAAATAGTGAAACTGTGCCTAAAGAGTAAGTCAAATGAGCCAGTGTTCAGTCTTTTTTTTTTTTTTTACTGAATGAGCAAATCAATCACACATCAGTGTTGTTGTAAATTTATGTGCAAAAGCATTGAAGTGCTTTACTACAAATTACAACGTAGAAACACGTTAACTAAACAATTAAATTCATACAATCAGATTTAGGTATATAACAACACAAAGAAGAAACAGAATTACAGTACATTTACAACACAAGACAAATACATGAAATTCATTAGAAAATATTGTAATAAATAATTCATGAATTATAGTGCAATTGATTTATGCATAAATATAACTAATTGCCTAAAAATCAGTTATTAACAAAATCTGTCAAAAATCAAGGCAGCCACAGAGTTTTACTAAATTACTGCGACAATGGAAATACTGCAATTAAAAAACAAATACAAGTATTTGTACTGTAAACAACTAAAAAAATCAGTCTCACTAAAGTTAATATACAATTTAATATAAAATTGTCATTAGCTACCAGAAATGGTTTAAACAACTTTACTGAGCAGTAGTTCTAAAAACAGAGGCACTGTTTTTTAATATAAAATACTTGAGAAACATTCAAATAAGTAGAAAGCATGTAGGGCTTGCTTTCGCCTTCATTTAAAAGTCTGCTGAAACATGAATTTTCAGAAATTGTCAATTACTAAGTAGTGACTGGTAACTGAATTTATAAAACAGTTCAAAAAGTATAATTTAAATGACATTTAAATGGAATACACTAGGATGGGGGAAGGGGAACCTAAACATTTCCCTGCCTTTCCTTACTTGTATAATCAAAGGTTAGCCTAATAATTAGAAACAAATAATTCTGTTTCTTTTAAACACTTACATGTTGAGTATCATCTATAAACTATCAAAAAATATTTTAATATACTATTTCTGACCAAAAAATAAATAAATACAATTACTAAAATGCAGAAAATTAATTATAATATTACATACAAAACTACTAATCACTGTTAAGTCAATAGTAAAATGATCCCTGATTTTATGAATCCTGTCAATTATTTGGTCAGGTCATCTTTTAAATGATATAAAAATGTACTGTAAATTGCCTTCAATATAAACTTCTGACTCAATTTATAATATTGTCTGAGGAATAAAAAACTTCAGCATGGTACAAATATTAGGCAATATACTGAAGCCCAAAAGTTTGCAAGTAAAATTCTGTATAAAGAGAGTTTTTGAAACATTTAAGTATTTTCAACTTTATTTTCCAGTGGGGGATATATTAACAAATTAATCTTTCTGGCCCTCACTAAATATGGCTTACTTCTTTAAAATGAAAGATGACCCTGACATCTGCTGTTTTGTGATCCCTTTGTTATTAGGTACAGTTCTGTTAAAAAAAAAGGATTCATTTTCTAATATGCAAGTAAAACTTAATAGCTGAAGAGGATTCAGTATAGATCTAAGAGACCAAAGAACTGATATACTGGCTGTGCAGTTTTAATTTCTTACAGATTCATTTGTTTAAAAATATAAATAATTGACTGTAATAAGGTAAATAACCAAGGACTAGATTTTGAAAATTTTAAACATAAACTCACCATTGAATTAGTTCAACAGCAAGCCTATCTAAAAGTTGATGAAGTGATGTGACCCCTGCATGGCTAATGTAGTCTTATATTCAGATAGGATGCGTAGGCAAATTTATCTCTACATCAGCACATTTGAGTGAAAAACATACTTGAAAATGTATGTGTGCAAAATTTTAAAAGGAAAATAAAAGTGTTTTTTCTAAGCCAAATCATGTGTCTAGAAATAATCTAAACCTAATTTTTAAATGGAAAAAGGGCATTGATGTTGAATTTTGAACATATAAAGCAAGCCCTCATTCTTCATATGTTAACATATGCTTTATGACATTATACCACCAAAATTACATAGTCTATAAAATCCAATGTAAATATTTTGAAAATCACATAAAAACTGCAATCTGAAGATAACTGGTCTCTCTTAGATTCTATTATAAGTTATCTATTTAAAGTGAATGGCCTAGCTTCTAACTACCAAATTTATAAAGAATTTATACTAATGAGAGTTCAAAACAGCTTTACTGTTTAATATTTGTATTTCTATCAAGACCCTGAACTGCAAATTTGGTTATTAGCAAAATGATAATGTAACGGCCCACCAAAATGAAAACTTGATATTCATTTTGATAAACTGAAAAGATTTTGAAATGTCACAGCAGCAATACATTTCAGTTATAGTGAGGTTTCAATAGGAGTGTGACACAATCCTTAAATAAATTTTAAGTAGTCATAACATCAACTAACCAGCACATTTAAACCAAAATAACCATTCTCAAGCTCATTCTGTGCACATTATGAACATGCTCTAAGTTGCATTCCAACTTTCTTCTTATACCTTACAAGTTTATTTTCCAAACTAAAAAGGAAAATTATATTAATAAAGTTTAAATTAGGTTATGCTCTTAGTATTCCATCTTATTTCATATTTAATAATTCTATAGCTACAGTAATTTGTCAGTTTCATAAGTATATTTTGTAAACACCAATTCTTGCTAAATCAACAACAAAACTCTTAAAATGATAAAAATGCAGTTTTATGTCTGCCAACACACATTTTTATTAATGAAATTGTTTTTTTTATTTGTATTGGATATTTAGTTATGATGTATTTCTTCTTCCACAGAATGTACTATATCCTACTAATACTTCACACGTCCACTTCCTTGGTAAGGAACTAGTTCTTTTAAAAGAAGAAAAAAATCCCTTGATTTGTATAATCTGAGTTACTTACAATTTATTGCAAGTATTTTGTGAAGTATTAAAGTTTGAAAACCATTAATTCTGTATTTCCATAGTTAGATGGTTTATTGAATGGCTAGGGTGGTTCTTTACCAATTAAAAATAATGCTTCACATGACAAATACTTGTTTTCCCAAAACATTTTATGCTATTGACTACTAAATAAAACCTGAATCTTTTTCACCTATTTGTACAAGGATTATATTAAATACACACTATCAGAATTAAGTGAGCAACTCTATAATTCTGTCCACAGTGAAAACCCTGAATAAAACTATTTTTCAAAAAGGCATGTATGTGGTTTTTGAACGGTATCATTTCATGTCTTCTGTAAGAGTGAACATATGTACTTCTCACATGTGTGTATACAGACATACATACACACACAAAAAACAATTTGCTAACAATAAATCTACACAGGCTTGCTGCTGTTTTTGCAGCTGCCAGTCCCTGAATCTGTCATATTAAATAACCCAGTGTCTGGTAATCGGAGTTTCTTCTTCGGCGGAGTCTTCAGTGTTCCAGATCTTTCTTTAACTTTGTATTCTAAAGTGCTGTGAGGTACCCCATAAATTCCTTGTGCTTTGGAAACACTCATTTTCCCACTCATTACCATTGCAATAGCTTCTTCCATTATTTCATGGTCATATTGCCGATAGCGACCACGTTTCTTCCTTGGCTGCTTAATATCTTTGCGATCCAAACCATCTTCTGTATTTTCTGAGGTTCCATCAACTGTTCCATTCTTAGCATTAAGACACAAAGGAGAGAGGTCCCCATGCAGAAAGTAGGAGTCAACACTTGAGTGAGTTACAGGTCCAGAACATTCAATTTTGTTCTGTTTAGGGAGTATGTTTTTCAATTTTTGAAGAGCTGATCCTTCTAAGACGGAAGAGGTTTTGGAAACATGATACATAACATCTAAAAGACCAGCACTATCAGATTGTGGTTTGGATACAGAACTTATTCTTAGCTGAGGAATTTTTAACTGTACGGTAGGATTTGAAGTTTCGTATTGTAGACTTTCACTTTTTTCTTTAAATTGAGTGACCATTCTTTGTAGAGTTAACTGGTGGAGGTAACTGGAAGCTGTTGGGAATTTTAATTCTGAGGTTTCAAGTAGACTGAGTTTACTTTTTTCTGTGCGCTCTGCTTGAGCTCTTGCCCACAAGGCTACTTTTTGCAGCACTGCACAAGTTTCTTTACTGTCTTTAAATGAATAACTATCATTGAAATCTCGAGTTTTATTTTTAAAAGGTGCAGGCTTTCCTGCTGGTAAGGCTTCTAAGTGGAGAAGTAAAGTTTTTTGAGGTATGCCATAAAGTATGCCTGCTTTATTTATGTCCAGTGCTCCAGACTGAATGTCTTTCAAAGCTTTTGAGAGCAAACCATCTGCAAACTCAGCACTTCTTTCCACATAGTCCTCTCTGTGTCTGTGTAGTCTCCTGGATGGATGGAATGAAACGATGGTAAACTGATGTATGAGAGACTCTCACACAGCTATGGAAGGGAAGGGTCCACTCCTTTATTATACTCCTTGCTTAGGTAACATCACTGCTTCTGATACTTTTAGGCCTTTGAGATGTGGTAGTTACTGATTATCATAGCAAATGTTACAGTTCTGGTAGGACAGTGTGTCAAAATCATACGGTGGCTTCTACAGCAGCCCTTCCAAGAACTTTAAATCCTAGCTCAGTATTTGATAACATTTTCATGTGCTTGCTATATTTCCTTTCATACATGCTTGAAGAGCAACAGGTATAATTTTAATTATGCAATTAACGTTCCATTAAGTGCCCAAATCCTGAAGGAGTTTTTGTTAGTAGAAACGTGACGTTACCGCTAAACAAGTAATAAAAGAGTCAACCCCCTTATAGAACATTTGCAGCAATAAATACATTACTACACACAAACACCCCAGACTTCCACAAGACTACTTTTTTCTACAAGCATAAGATAAAGTGCTGCAATTAACAATTAAGTCAATATACAACTCAGTTTTTAAACTTCAAACCACTATTTATATTTCTCTAATTACAAGTCTCAGCAATTTTTAAATTTGTTCATTTCAGTAAATTAACAAAGCAAGTTTACATGATTCAACAAATATTCTTATTTGTAATAATATCTTGTAAGATGTATAGGTGACAAAAAGGGTCCTGCTATGGTGAGTGGATTGGAGAATGCCAACATTATAACAAAATCTAACAGAATAATGTATTTCACTATTTTTGTTTCAGATAATGTAATGGTAACTTTCAGCACACAAAACAACAGTTTTATTTTTAATGCTGAATGGACATTTTAGCAATATGCCACCACACACCATAGGCAGAACCATGATGCAAGTATGAGGATTAAGAGCTCTCTCTCATTAAGAAATACTAAATACAATTGCTGCTTAATTTGTTCATGTTAGTTGAAGGATATTTAAAAAAATCTAAAACTTAATGTTACGCTTTGTCCCAAACAGAAGTTTCCTAAACGAAGGCTCAGAGGATAAATTTACATTTTCATCTTCTGCCCTACTTCCTTTATTGGATTACATAATTAAATTTTCAGTTCATTTTTAGTAACATGAACTAAAGTTTGGTGATTGTTCTGATAACTTTTCTTTAACAGAAAAAAAGAAAAGAAAAAGACAAATGAAATATATGATATATACATAGACACACACTTATGAGTGAGAAAAACTCTTGAGGAAAGCAAAATATAGACTGCATGTGTGTGTCAGTATATACTGTACAAGTGTCTTACAAACATACAACTGCCTTTAAAGAAGAATTTTTACATTATGTTCCTTTTTACATAAGCTGCCCACCCTGTCAAATATCCATAAATGCTGCTTACCCAGACACTGAATTTTCAGAACACGATGGATCATATTTTGACTCTTCCAACCTTGCGCTTCTCTTTGTAGAGAGATCTAGCACTCCGTCCCCTGCAATAATAATCATAATAAAAGATTTTCTTGGAATCTACTAATTTTTTATACACATGGCACAACATATGACCTATGTTGTAACATTTCTGTTATGTTCTCCCTTTAAATGTCAATTTATTTGCAAAGCTCAACAGCTTTTTTTTTTATTAGACTACATTAAAAAAAACCCTTTGGACCTATAATTATACATAGGAATTATGGAGTTTAAAATTATTATGAACATTATGATATCATATTTTGTCGATTCTACAGATATAGTCTAGAAATACACTTGGTATTTGACAGATCAACAAACCATTTGTGAACATGGCTTGAAATATGGGTCATAAAACTGAACATGAATAGTTTAAGAACAAAGATCATATAAAATTGTTGTTTTAATGACACACAAATACTAAAAAACACATGAAGATCACCAGAACAAAGGTATATGTGTGGGGTCAGTGGAAACACGAAGAGGGGTATATATGTGTGTTGGGAGATAAGCAAAGAATTATAGCAGCACATGTTTTAAAATCCTTCTCTCAGTCTTTTCTATTGGTTGAATGGTTAAGAAAGCTTAAATAACATGTCTTATGAAAGTGTATATGATCTATATGTATTACATCATTATTTCCAAAGTCACCCAGGAAATGCACTTCACTATACAAACTTTTTTCAAACAAAATATTTTTTTTCATTTATAAAGAAATAATTTCATGAATTTAATCCTGTACATGTGTCCTCTGGCCGCATGTTTGTTTTATCCTCTCCTACTATTTTGCAAATCTAAACTACATTGATGGAACAATTTATATCAGTAAGAAATAACAAATTCTGGCTGATGGTTTAAGAACCATGAACCTGGAATGGATGTTGCATTTGGGTCCATCCCGGGTCCAGGCCAGGCGGGAGTTCCAGGAGCCCGGGCACGATTCCGGCTTCGCCTCGGTGACCTCCTCGGAGGTCGGGCGGGCTGCGGCGCCGGCTCTATAATTCTATACTGTCAAACTTACTTCTGCCCTTTTTTGCATTACGATAACCTTTAATTCTACAAACACATACTATTTCTGAAATAAAACAATCTATTTTCTACAGATTTAGAGCAGTGGCTGATCCCTCTGCAGGCTGGATCTGGCTGGTGAACTGAATTTGGTGCCCACGAGAGGCGTGGCAGGGCTCTATCTGGCCACACAAAGTGGGGAGGGGGACAGCCAGTCCCAATCCAGCATGGGGTTTGCCCCAATCCAGCCCTGCAGGGAGGAGGGGGAATGACCCAGCCCCAATCCAGCCTTGTGTGGGGAGGGGGCATGGCCTGACGCTGTGAGAGGAAGGGAGTGTGGCCCAGTCCCAACCTGGCTGGGCAGGGGGGAGGAGTTGTGGCGCAACCCTGTCAGATGAAGGGGGCATGCCCTGACACCAAACCAGCAGTGCAGGGAGTGGGGGCATGGCCTGACCCTATGAGAGGGAGGGGGAAGAAGAGGGTATGAGCTGGCTCTGGACCAGCTGCCCAGAGGGAGGGAATGTGGTCTGGCCCCATGGTTAGAATGGAGCATAGCTTGGCCCCAACCCAAAACTTACAACAGAAGCAAACTACTTTGTATGGCTAGTTGAACCTGAAAGGAACACCAGGACATTTTTGTGAGTTTTGGGAATAAGTGGTGAGGGAGGGATGAAAGAAACAAAGGAACAGAAATTACCCCAACACTTTCTCTCATGTTAGCCTCAGTGCATTGGTAAAACTATCAAAATGTACAAAGATACTATCATATTGTCAAACCAGTCCTTATTGCCTTCATTTTTATATCTGGACAGAAATTTTTTATAAGATTTTTTTGCAAATTCAACATATACTGCTTTATATATATTTGACAACAATTAAACATACTGCAGCAACAATGGTGCTTGACAAGAAAGTACTATGTTATCCTGCCTGGCTTCCTGCAAAACTTCTGAAGCATAATTGTTCAGTGCAGTTGATAATGGAACATCTGTGTAAGTAAAGATACACACCTTACAGTAGGGAAGTAAATATTCTTTTAAAAATTATTTGTTTAACCTCCTCTAATTATATTGGTTAAACGTTTAACTGATAACACAGTAGCTTGGACACAGATGCTGCTGGCAGCTGCTCCTGGGCCCTTTGATGGGGGAGGGGCGGGGAGAAAAGAAAGCAGAAGCAACACATCCCCAGGATGGGAGGGATGGAGCATGTACAAACAAGCAGCTAATTATTTCACTGAAGAGTCATTAAATTGCCCCTTGTTTTCCTCTTTAACCTCATAGGCTATTGGTACTAGTCCTCCCTCAATCTTCCCCCTCTCCTCTTCCTCACTCCTCCCTCTCTTCTGCCTGCCCTGCTTTCTGGTTCCCGCTGGGGCACTGTGCAGATTTCCTTCCCCCTCTTCCCTGCCAGACTGCACCCTGCCCCGTGCTAAACAATAACTGCTAAGATAACCAGTTATCACTGGACTTGACTTAACAGTTACAATGATTAATCATTTAACCTTTCACATCCCTACCTCATAGGTTTATTGAGAAGAAAGAGTTGTTTGGGATAATATGGGGATATATAACTGGCTAAGTCCAGGATCAGTTGGTTCTTCCCTTCTTTAACTAGTTTATTCCTTATTAAACACCCAGAAGTGCACTGACTTGTTGTTTTATGGCAAGACGACTGTCCTTATCTTATTCCCTTTAATGGGAGCTGGAAGAAAGGTTAAAAGATAAGACAAACAAGTGCAGGAAGTATACAAAGTAACACCATGACATTGAGTTTACTTCCCAAGTGAAGATGACAAGGGAACAGCCTTGCTGTAAGTACTCTGAGAAATGACAAATAGTCATGAAATGTGTACTTTGTGACTCATGTTCTGGTAAAGGGGTCTTTGGCTTTCTAGAAGTAACAATTGTTATTATGACAAATCAAGAGATTTCTCTTACAGTTAATACTAGAATAGATACCTAAAACCTGGAAAATGAAATCAGAAAATCTGAATAAGCAATATTCCTGGACATCGTTACATACAGGAATGCATGGAGGCCTTAATTTTGGATATGTCTTCAGGTGTCTGACCAAGAAGTTTCCAAAAAGGAAGCAGATTTCAGTATAAAGACTAGCCACTACCCATATTTGTCAGAAAGTTCTCCAAACCAGGATTTTAGAAATAAAGCTCTTAAGGCTACTGTTTGTCCAGCCTAAGAAATGCATTAAACAAGCCAAGCAAGTATATCAATGCTTGTGGATTATCTTGTCTAACTTCATAGTTTCTAGGGTCGGAAGGGACCTGAGCAGA